TAGATATTGTGATTGGGATATATACAATAATTAATTAAATGATGAGGTTATATAAATTATCGTGACATATGTTAGCACAGTTTTTGAAATTATATTATATTTTTAAGAGAAATTTTTCATTTTTGCTTTATTAGCATAAAGATATAAGCACAAGATATTATTGCACACAAATTATAATTATATTGTATATTAACGTAGCGATATACGTTCCTGAAATTATAGAGAAAATTATTATTAATAGTAGAACAATGATTCTTTGGCACAGATTTTATAGGTATATATAACATCACGTAGTTCAGCCTTCAGCCTGTTGAAACTCTTTCCATTTGCATGTAGCCAACGTTTCCAATACACATTGAAATAAGCGAAGTGATTCAGTTGGATAGAATCTGTAAAACTTTGCGTTGACAAGAACAGTTTTTCTTTGGCAAACAACTTAACGAGATACTTTCTTAGCCGCTCTTGACTTAAGTTATGTACGGTTTTATCCCTATAATGTGCTGTTAAGCTTTATTTGTAAAAGAATTGTTGTTCTTAATTACTTTTACTTTAATATAAATGTATATAAAAAGTGAAATTAAAGGGTAAATTTGAGGTATACTACTAAATGAAATAAAATTATACGTGTAAACTCGTAAAGTAAAAGGTAATCTGAAGAAAAGAGTACAATAATATAGATCAATTTATTAGATGGATAAGATCTTGAATCTTATTTATTTCGACTTTAATGAGCAGCTTGTTTTAATAATATTTATCATGTTACGTTTAAATTAAACTTTATAGCACAGAAAAGAAATAAAATAATTTCTTAAAAGATAAAACGCTTTTTATGTGATAAATGACTGTAATACAAGTTGCAATAAAATAGTCTAACTTAATTTACGAATGTTTATGTATTTTTTATATATTTTTATTTTTGTGGTCAGAATAAGTTTAATTTTATTAGAGTACTTTTTTACGCCATACAAATAATCTATATTTCAATTATAGGTATGAATATTTATGCGATTGCTATTTAAAAAAAGGAAGAGAGAAAATTTTTAATATTCACTAAAATACCTCGTAATGCAAATCTGCAAATTGAAAGTTAAGCATATTTTCTTAGTAGATAATTTTTAACTTGAAATTTTACGGAGTTTCTGTTTGTGTGTGTGTGTATGTGTGTGTGTGTTACATAATATTAAACATCAACTCGGGTTCATCGGCTTGCGTAAATCATCTAACTTGACTTAATATTACACAAGCGTATACAGATTAACTCTTACGACCTATATAATCCGTACGATTAAATGACGCGTATAACGCGATATCGCGCGAAAGTAAGATAAACATATGATTCCGCCGTTTAGCTGGCTCATAGAAGATATTAGTTGATTTACTATTACGACGCTTTGCACAGACGCGGTACATGGATTAAAGAAGAGGCAGAAATCTGAGATCAAAGTTTTCGCATTAAGTAGGAATTCTCGAAATGCCACGCGAGGCCGAGCGAAATTATGCAATCATATCTGTGCGAATATTTGACTTCCTCGGCTCGGCAAATCTCGTTCCGTCTCGACTCCCGGTAAGTAATAGCGCGCCATGTATACACGTGCGTCTGTAGTTAGGTACGTCTGATTAAACATTATAATTGGCAGTCGGCTGAGGACTCGTTAGAATCTCCATCTGCTGCGACTGTGTGATAAGCGCGACCATCGAGTCGGACATCGTTTCGTCACAATTTCTGACTTAATTATGTGACCGTCGTGCGCGCAGAGGGTCCTAGATGACCAATATTTTTTTATCTGCAGATTCAGTTATATATAGTTGTAGATACAGATTTTATTTATTTAAAACTGACCTTAGCGTAATCTCATTAGACTTTCCAATATTTGACATTAAACATTTTATTGAGTAAGCTGCTTTGTCGAAGGTAATCTAAAAATGACTGGGTTTCTAGGAGCTTGCGCATGATATGATTAAATGAGCTTGGATTATGTAAAGTGCTCTACGCCCTTAATTTTTCATCAAATCGAACATTTCGACTGGTAATTGCGATGTTTGATTCATCGGCTCGTAACGAAGTTATGTTAACGACTATGTGGGTCTCGAGCAGACATATATGGCTATAGTCGCGTCCTGCCGTTTAATTGCAATTAATGTGTTGGCAACTTTCCGCGCGCAACAACTCCAATAGCGTCACAAGAAAGAAATGAATTCTGAAGAGAAGTTTCAATATGCTGTTTGCTAGCTCGTAGCTAAGTTATATTACGGCTTCACTAATTTCAAACGGTTACGATTTATGCGTCGTTTATATGTCAAAAACTTTTAATGTACAATATAGTTCTAATTACTCTGCAATAACTGAAATATATAACTACAGCGGAAATTTCAATACACTTCGTATAACTATGTGTAATTATGTTGTGATTCGTAACGTTGAATTTAAAATTTAAATTATTTACAGTTAAACTAATGCGATATTATCAAAGTTGAATTGTACACCGAAAAAACGGTTCTGCTCAAGTATCTAAAAATTTAGCTAGATACAGATCTGAAAATAATTTTGTTGCACCATCAAAATAATTATAGTAGGTCGCTGAAGTATGATAACGCTGTAAAAAGTTTTGACATTTTAGCAATCAGTTTGAGTGTTCTACATAATTATTTTGATGGTGCAACAAATTATTTTCAGATCTATATTCAACTAAAATTTTAAATACTTCAGTAAAATTATTCTTTCCGTATATATATTACATGTACAAATTTTTACAATTAAAGAATACTAAATTTGTTACACATACGTGTATATACATATAAGTAAATAGATTTAAACTTATATGCGGCGTGTAAAAATATTGAAATATTCGGTTTTATTGATAATCTCAGTATAGCTAGGTACATGTCATGATCAATGGTTTTCAATACCGTCCTATTTTTATTTTCGGAAAATAAATGTCATCTCTTCGTTAACGATTAACGGAAACTGTGTAATAACGTGGTGAATTGTGTCGATATATCGACAGCGAATATAAAAACTGATGGCTATTAAGCAGTCACCCGCGGAAAGCCAGATAAATTATTTCGCGGAAAACCGCAGATAAAGTGATTTAAACATGCTAAATAATATTTTATAGATGTAAATACAGATATAAAAAGTAATGCGAATATAAAACTGATATATGTTTTTGTATGTAAAATCGATCTTTTGAACAATCTATTATTATGTATTCAATTCAGAATTAATTTTTTTATTTATATGATTGCAATTTATAGCTAATTCATCTTAATGTCATATAAAATCATTAATAAATGGATAAACTATTAATAATTATTATGCAAAATCTTTCAGATTTATTATTTTTAAAATTAAATTATTTGGTATCGTTTCTTTCTTAATCTTTTTTCTTCAGTTAATATGACATTCCAGTGTCATTCGACAGTTTTGACTTTTGATCGATCACGCATAAAGACGCTTATTGATGGCTGTAGCTACTTCAAAAACTTCATTTATCCGTCAACGTCTGAAAGACGAGCAAATCGTGTTTGTTAGAGATGACGGATGCAAATTAGGGAACGTAGTTGAGGTCGGGGATAATATTTCTAGGGAAGCGAGCTTAATCACGGGTAGCTCTTTAATAATTGCCTTATCCGCGTAAACGGGATATTCGCTCGGGCAAGACGATCGATATTTTTGCACAACTTAATTTTTTTTCATTTTTTCCTTACTTATTAACAGCACAATGTGATTTTTTAAAAAATAAGTTGTTTTTATATATGAAAATGTTAAAAAATTTTGAAGAAGGTTTGAATGCACAAGTTTTGTGATTTTGATTATCAATTATTTAATTGTAAAATAATTAGAAGCATTGCTCTTATGATATCGATAATAATTAGACACCCTTAGGGGAAGAAAAATTAATTCATTAGCAGCAGCATTTTTACGTTTTGTATCTGTTATCGCGTGTGTGCAACATTTTGTGTAGTGAATCTGCCTTGGATAATCCAGGTTCGTTCTGTCATATTCATTAATATGATGAAAGATGAAATTGTAGACTGGCTCATGGAAAATAGTTTTTCGTTTTTTACTCCGCGTTGTTTCTTCATAAAACTGAGATTAACAGCACTGTTTCTTGTTTTTAATTGAAATCTGATATAGTGAATATTATAAAAACTGTGAAAAGAGAGAGAGAGAGAGAGAGAGAGAGAAATATAATTGATAGAGAGCAAAATAGTAGAATCTTGCAACTTTCTTATTTCTATTATTGCAAGAGAACTTAATACAAAACCTAATTCCATGTTTATTACAATATATTTTTAACATCAAACTTTATCATTTTATTGAAAAAATTAAAATGTTATCTTGTGCTAAAATAAAAGTAAGAAACAAGCCTATGTTAAAAGTATATTTCTAGTGATTTATATTGCTTATTATATGAAAGACGACTTATTGGTATCTTTTTTACGTTTTACTTTATTCCGTTAACAGATGTAAAAGAAGATGTAACATTGTGCAGGTTTATCTATTTAGGTTACAGTACCTATTACAATCGACGATTAAAACTTGAGTAACGCAGTAAAAGTTACGATGCCTACTTTCCTGTGAGCTTTTTTATAATAGCGCCTAGTTGGAAATTCGATCCTACGATGAATTTCAATCCTTAACCATCGTAAAGCAAAGCGAATCATGTGTTCTTTAGAGATTTCGATAACTCATCTAGTTGAAGATAATTTTATACAAAAAATAAATTCTTATTATCAAAATATTGAAGTTAATTAAAAATAACTGTTTTTAGTGAGATGATATCAATTTAGAAACACTATTCTGAGGAAAAGGTATAAAAAATACAAATGCACAAAGATATATATTAAAAATATGTTTGAATTTCATGAAGGTCTTTGAATATATTTTGCTTTCACCCATTTCTTCAAAAGTAGAAGAAAAATGTGCTCTTTTTGCGATTTATTTCAAGGTTCATTCAGTTTTCATTACTAATATAACGATTCTGTTTCTTGCACAGAGGGAAGATGAACGAGATGGAGCAGGTTCCTGAGGGTTGAGATAGCGTGGATCCTCGAGATGACCGGTTGGAGAATGCAGCCGACCGCCTCGGTGCTCGGCGTCATCGCCATTGTCTCCGTCATGATTACTGTCACTGCATCAGGTGGGTGATTTAGTGTGCAGTTTTTGCTTGACGTTTTAATTTTAGCACAGACACATTTACACGACATCTACTAAAACTTGAATAACTTATTAAAACGATATAATGCAATATAGTAAAAATATCAACTTAATTTTATCTTCTGACTACTTTCATATTCGGCTAATGCAATTTCACATTGGAAAGATATAGATAAAAATTAATCATGAACTAAATGAGAATTTACACAGACATCGAATTATATGCAATTGAACACAAATAATACAAAGGTTTAATTAATTTTCTAAGTTATGTAATATACATATATTTAATAACGTAAAAGTTGAATTATGTATTAACGAAATAATGGCATTTGTTAAAAAAAATTTTACATTCAATATGTATTGCATGTAAAATATCATAAAGCTTTTTAAAAGGACAATAATTTGAGGAACTTTAATATGAATTGCTGACGACAAAAATCTCGAATATTTTTTGTATCATGTTTTAATAAGTCGATTTTCGCGCTAAATTCGAGCCGCTCGCTCTCTGCTTGCAACAAATATTTATGGTACACTTTTTCGGTTGAATACTCTCGCGATGTAATATTATTGCGAGTAAACGAAGGTTTATTTGTCTCAGTTTATCGGAATGCGAGGATTTTTAATTAACCTGAATGTTTAGCTGCGCTATAAGCGTCGAGTCGTAACAACGGAAAACGGCCGTGCCCGGCAGGATAAAGAGGGCGAAACTCTTTTGTAGCTACCGAGCCAGTTGTTCTATAAAGTCTTTATACGAAGATAACCCCACCGGAATTTACTTTCTTGCGCTTCCTAGCAATCACCATTTGGTAGGCGAATGCCCTTTCACGCAGTTCCGCGCACCCTACGAAACCTGAAAGTACCGAATAACGAGATTGCGCTTAATGTTGCCAGCTTTTCACAGATAAAGACATTGTTATTTTTATGAATCATAATAACTCTAATTTTAAGCGATACATTTTTTTTCCTTAAAAAGAACAAACAATAAAATATTAATCGGTAAATAATTTTAATAGTTTTTGCCAAAAAGAGGCAAAGAGATTGAAATCTGTTCCTTTCTACTATAGTTGAAAAGAAAATGAAAAAGTTTTACATTTTGTAAAATAGATCTATAGTATTAAATTGTAACATTAATACACATTTTGTGTTATATCAGAAAAAACCGATTACATGGTTAATATTATAGAATATATAATATATAATATATATTATAATTTTGTTTATAAACAAAATATAATACTTATTGATAAAGACAATATAATTGATATAAATTATACGTATAATAATTGTGATGAAGAAATATATCAATATACAACTATATAACTATATCAATATGCAACTATATAACTATTAAGAAATTTTTTAGCAAAAAAAATTTTGTTCATTATTGCGTTTGCATTTAAAATTATAAAATTATCATAACAAGTTACATATTTCTTTCTTGTGAGAATTATCTCATGAAAATGCCGTATTTCCGAATCGGGGGATTTCCACTCTATTAGACTTACTTTTAATTCAACCCATCACAGACCGACGTCCATCTGGGACTGCATCTGTCGCGCCCGCAGGAATAATCTGCGGAATTTCCTTCTTCGCACGTCTCGCGAATTTGTCTATCACACGTGACAAGCGTAAATCCTTGCTGACAAATTGCGGAGCGCGGAGAGATAGGTGCGCCACGTTACTTCGGCACGTCCGCTCGATCGTAGCGAGCTCTGAAAACGCGCTCGGCTCCCGAAGGTGGAAAAGGGAATTAGACGCGAAATTTGCAGACGCGGCGAATGAAAAATGATACGTTACTTATGCATCGGTTACACGGACCCGATCGGAAGGCTATCAATCACAAGGAACAAACGCGAAGTGTATCTTCATTTTATGGCTCAGCAGGCTGTATCGCGCGGGGGGCTAATCGCCGAAATTTCGCGCGAATCACTTGCACTCCCGCGGAGCAATGGCGCTTTTAAGCTCCGCAGCCGCTGCGGCATATCGCACGGCGGCGATCAATCATTCGCACAATTGCTTGTATTCAGGACGCGAGATTGAAGAAAAAGCTTTCCCAGACGGATCGGCAACAAAACCCGAGACGAGCGCGCGGAGCGCCTTATCTGTTATCACAGAACGTGTTATTCGGAGCATGTTCACAGAGATATCGGACCGCCGCGAATAATAATACGTGTAACCCCGAACAAAGCGAAGATTAATATGCCAATAGAACTTTGATAACACCGTCGGAAATTACTCAAACCGAATCGGAACATGTTCGAATCGCAACTTAAATCGCGGTTTAGTTTCGCAAGTATCTTATTCTTTTAAGTAGGTTGATATGAAATATGGAACAAATAAATGATGATAAAGTGATCTTTCTCACAGGCAAGAATTGCTCAGAAGATTTCTTGGATTCTCGCGGAAATCATTGTATACACATCCGCCGTTTTATAAATCACTTTTCAAATATATTTCTTTGAGCACACAGCTTGGGTATATATAGAAGCACGAAGTAAATAAATTGTGATATATCGATTTGTCTGCAAAAAGAAACATTGCACGAGAGAATCTAAGCGATCTTCGAAATTCCCACCGAAATCTCTGTATAGACGTCTGCCGTTTTATAAATCATTACGAACGTCGTCGGTGGCCAAAATTACACGGCGTTGCTCGACGCGATCGATCGATCACTCGCGACGCAAAGCGTGCGCTAAATTGCTTTCGAACGACGAACGACGAACGAATGTCACGTTGTCGTTGCTGTTGCTGTTGCCATTACAGCCTGTGCTATCGGCGTGGCCGGCAATATCGATTCGTCTAAACAAGATCGCCCATGCCAAATATCACGATATATATCGGCTCGCTGACGTTTGCGCATTTTCCGGACAATGTGAGCGAGATCGGCGATTCGCAAAATTTTCACAAAACTGTATACTGCAGTATTAAAAGTTGTCAACATAGAGATTGTCGAGATTTTGATAAATGATAAGTAAAACAGATAAATTTTACGATAGTTTAAAGTTATAGAAAACTTTGAAAATTTGAACAATAACTTGTTGTAATTAAACATTTGTGACTGAATATCTTTTACAAATCACTTATCTATGGATTCTTTAGCCAATAAAATGGTTTTTTTTTTACAAACATAGTTTGTAGCTTTTAGACACATTAGTAATTTTTCAAGTAAAAGTATTAAAAATGATTAATCCTCTTTGAATTAAAAAAATTTTTAAATTATTAACAGAACTGACGAAAATGTCGAATTTTTAATAGTATTAGTGTATGGCAAAATATTTCTATTTAAAATGTAAGACAGTACTGTAAGGCTTAACATTCTAAGATGGAAAAGTATATGGTACGCTTTATAGTTTCTTTCTTCTGAGGTGATTTGATGATCTTCAATTTTCGCGCAAGAGTAGCGAAGATGAAAGGTATAAGGCTGGACTGGTGTAGCTTCTCGTGACGAAATAGAGAAAATTGAAGAACAAATGTATGAGGAACTGTATAAAAGCTGTAGCTGTTCCAAGTAATGGTAGAAGAGAAGATACAGAGGGAGATAGAACACTGTCTGATAGAAGTCGCGGTAGATGGCAATCTTGTAATTCTCCTCGTTCGCCATCACACGGGCAGATATAGCAATGATGAGGTGATCGCAGTATATTCATAGCAACTGTTACTGTTGTGAGAGCAATATCCACTTGCGTAAATAGGATTGCGACGATTGTCAGACATCGCGCGATGCGCATCGGAACATCAACGAATCTACGTTATGGCCGCGACGACACAGTTTCATTGCACAATAAATAGGTAAAACCACAGCGTAAAAGTTTTATGTTTTAAAGCATTACTATGAATATATTTCGTACGAACGTATCTATGAATAAGATCAGGGCTTTTCAAACTAAGGTTCGCGACCCCTCACAAGGGAACGGTACAAAAGTGTTAATTTAGTTCTTTGATGGATACAATTGGATACAATTTATGTGTAATTTCTTAATTAGAGGGTGGTTTATGCAAAAGCACTTTTCACAGTGCGCACAACAAAAAAAGACTGAATTACGATAAATCTGCATTACAGTTGCGATTTTAGGAATTTCTACCTTCCTCTTTGAGCCATATATGTATTTCTCAGCAACCGTTTACCTCCACTTACTTCTGAAAATAATTATACCAATTCCTTGTCCTAGTCTTGGCCCTCGGGACTAAATTGATATTTTCGTACCGTTCCCTTGTCAGGGACTTGTGTAATATTATTGAGGGTCGCGAAAACATTTAAAAATATTATTTTTTCGTAAATAATTAGGTAACTAGTTTTTATTTCTATATAAAAATCTACTTTTTGTGGTTCTTATATAATAAAATATCTCAGAGAATTACATATTCTCATAATTTATAATAATTTCTCGTAAGTATTTAAGTGTATTGTTTAATATTTTTATATTTAAGTAACTTTCCTGCGATTTTCATCTATGTTGACGCGAAGTTTTTTATTTACAATCAATCGTAAAAAAATGTAGGTGAAAAAAACTATGTGGATGGATTTTCTATTGCAACTATGTTCTACAAAGAAAAACCGTTCACTGGTATTAAAAGTAGAACAGATTTTTAATCATATAAAAGGAAATTTGTCGGTCGCGCTAAAGTAAATTTCGTTGGATGACAGAAAGCGCGCCGAGCGAAGTTTTCAAAAGAGTTTGTTTATCACGAGTTTCCTCATGGACTTCGATTGTGATCGAAGCCACACCGGGAGAAGCGAAATCTTATACCGAAAACTTTTCCCAGGGTTCTCGCAAATAAAAGCACGATCGCGATACGCACGCTCGCGAAATGAAATTCCTGCGGAAGCGAACCTGCGGCACTTTTGTTTCGGGAAAATACGTGCCGTTGTGTCGCGCACAAAGGAATTACACACTGTTATTATCACGTGGTACTCGTATCGCGCGGAATATTTCAAAGTGAACAGGATGTCGCGCGCAGATTTTCAGCCTTTGTTCTATGTTGGAGTTCCCGAAACGGATTTCCGAATTGGGAAGATTGTACGAATTATATAATCTCCTTAAATTCTTATTGCTAAAAGCGTATGCCTTCGTTAAAGAGAGATATATATATTAATTGAATACAGAGTGTAATCGACTTTAGCAGCATTCCCGAGTTTGTATACTTATGTCACTCTCAAAGCAAACGATTCGTGTGCGCCGCCTCATTTTTATAACATTTTTAGATCTGAGATTTTGATTGGCCATTTATTGGCTCTCCTCCGAGAGCTCTTGAAAAACCCATAAAACTCCCGATCGTACTTCTTACGTCCGCATTTAAATCCTCACCCAACCGGAGATCATTCTATCCCCTCGTTCCAAGTCATAAATCTCGGCGAAGCAAACGCTCCGCCTCGTCGGCATGTCGATTCACCCTCGACACGATCGGCGAACCTGTGTTCACCCTTACATTCCCCCGCCCACTGTGTGCATACATCCGGTGTTCCGACTTAACTTATCTTATCGTTAACACGGCATGTTTGTTTCCTTCCCGCAGAAGCGGAGAACGGCGCCATTGAACGTGGCATCAATCATCTCGATGACGAGGATCAACGTTTCGACGAGAGAATCGCGAAGAATCGCACTGTCGAAATTGGTCTCGCTGGCTGGTCTCACGGCAACGACACAACAGCCCTCGAGGAAGTCATTTCCGCTCTCACGGTTGAGTACCCGACCTCAACGAAGGATTTGCCCTCGCTTGTTACCGCAGATCCTCATTTCGACAACGCGTCGAAGAGATACGTAGACGATCAGATGATATTCGCCTCGAAGAGGATCGAGGACTCGGGACAGGCGAAAGAGGCCCTGGCAAAAAGGCTGGACCACGAAGACGTTCGAGGGACGAACGACTCGACGATAGAAAAGTCGAAGGACGACTGGCCGACGATGATATCGGTGGAGAAGGTGGAAGATATTACGGAAGCGAGATACGGCGAGCAGAGAAACGTGCAAGATATCAGGGCGATCTCGTTCCAAGTACCGCCGCCGGACGAGAAGGAGGAGGACTATCAGGACAGCCGACAACAGGAGAAGACTAGCGTCGGCCATACGAATGAAACGAGGAAGCTCGGCGAGACCAGGAAAAATCAGTCTAGACCGGCGAATAACTTGCTGCTGACCGGCAAGTCGACGAAGGCCTTCTACGAGATTAAACCGTCGATCAGGACGCTCGAAACGGAACGCGGTCGTGATCATCAGTTTCAAATCACCACTCACAGAACGTTGTTGGAGAGGAAGTTCGTCCTGCCCAGCGATAGCGCTATTGGAAAATTCGGCCCGTATTTCGAGGACGGCGATCGAGAGATAAACGTCACCGCGAGAATCGGCAGTACCGTTTTGCTGGACTGCAAAATCGGCATGCTAGGAGATAAAAAGGTGAGTCGCTTCATCCGCCGTTAGTCTCGTTAATCTTACTCTCAGTTATGTTTTGGTTATGGTTACACTCATTATACTTTCAGTTTTAGTAAATAATTTTACCAGTATTTTCTTGTGACAATTACACTGCAATGTCTTTATCCATTTAATCTTGATATGTTCACCTAACGCTAATTGGAGAGCGTGAGATTATTTAATGTATCTGTTATCATTGCTAAAGATGGCTTAAAGAAGAACCGAAACATACGATTTATAACTTTGTATTGAATTGTTAAATTAAATTTTACATAACATTAAATCACGTACAGCTAACTGCGTTTAATTCTTAAAGCTCACTTTTTTCCTGTTACTTGTTAATTTCAATATCGAGAGTTTTTAGTTAATTATCCATTTATTTACTTATACGAATCTCTTTAATTCTCTTATCTCACTTTAAAAGTTTCCACTATTATATGTTACAATTTGCAGTAAATTTCTTTTATCTTGTCAAATTTAAGGAAATAATTGGCCTATAAGATCAAGGTAAAAGAAATTGCGCGAACTTTGTTAGTCTAATCAGAAAGACCGCACATTTTTCTTTTTCAAATAATGCGAATCAAGGGGAAAGCGTAACGATCGAGAAGGTAAAGCCGAGGGTACGGGAAAGATGCTGCGGCGAGTAAGCGGAGGCGCAAATTATAATTGCAAACATCGTTTGTTAGTGTCCGCCGCGCGTACGCGCTCCCGTCTGTCTTGTCGTTACGAAAGTTTTCGCATTTCAATCAGTGCCTGCTCTCGGTACCTCCCTGTCCATTTCTCCCCGTGATTTCTATGTCCATTTGCTCCTCGTCGCGCTCGGGCGGCTTGAAGTTCCGAGACACGCGGCTCGCTCGAGATTCCCGCGGGATTCATATTCCGCAGAATACGTAATGCGAAACCGATTGCGGTGGGATGGTATAATAGTATGCCAAGGAACGAAAACGAGTGCGACCCGATGAGAGGCGTGTATGCGTGTCGCGTGGATGTCGCCTAGGTATAGCTGTACGAGAAATATAGCGCGTTATGTGCGTGTGGTGTGCGCGCGCCGCGCGCTCCGCGAATAGCAAACAACTCGAAGGGAACTTAATTATGAGATATCGCCCGTGCCGTTCGCCAAGTCGTCTCCTTTCGGTAAAACGGCTACTTAAGGCGTCGCGACGAATGGTTACTTGAGGAAATATTTGTTTGCGTTAAATGTTTACTTGTAATTATGACTTTAAGTAGAGTAATTCCTATATAATACAGGCATTATTACAAGAAACGCATTGTAACTATACTGAATGATATCTCGGATTCAAAAATACCTACTTTGTCTCGAAAGGTGAAAGGTGAGGATGGCAAGCTAAAAAACGTTATGAGTTTCAAATTAAGATTCGATTAAAATATCTTTTTTTGATTAAGATATTTTTAAATAAGATTTAGTTAAAATATTTTTTCTGATTTTTTATTTAACTTGATATTTTTATGACAGGAGAAACGGAATTATATCCATTATATGAAACACACGTATGTGTGAGATTAATTTAAACGTTTTAAATAAAAATTAAGATAAAGTTTTTATTCAACTGTCACTTAATCTGTCATTTAATCAGATATTACGAAGTTAAAATAGGTAGTCATTTAATCAGACATTACGAAGTTAAAATAGGTAGTCACTGCATCTACTAAATCTTGAGGTACGTTAACCCGTAGTGGTCGCACCTCTTAAAAATAACGTAGTGGTCACACGGGGTCCAATGGACCCCACAACAGTTGCCATTTGCGTTCTTTTTTATGTATCGACTCAAACCTTGAACTAGAATTTAGTTTAAGACTTCCTCTTTATAAGCCAACAATTTTTTTCTCTTTTTTAAAATTTTTTTATGTTGAAAAAACGCGAGAAAAAAATTTTTTTCGAAAAATTTGACTTTTTTCACAAAAATATTCATCAAAATTTTTTGAGATAAAGCAAAAAAACTTCCTGCATTTTACTCTCAAAATAGTATACTTTTAAGAAAAAAATAGCCTGGGGTCCACTGGACCCAGTGTGAAATTAGTTAAAGGTCTTTTTGCGTGTTTCCTCTTCTTTGCGTCACGCCATCCTTTCTTAAACAAAAGTTGACTCTTTATTAATTTTATCATGTTAAATAAGAACTACCGAAGCGATTCTTTTGAATTCAATGGCATAACTTCTCCGGCGACACGCAAAATTTAATTTGGGCGACACGCATAAGGGCCCGTCCGCGGCTTGCCCAGAAATTATTTTCCCCGTTTCCTTCGGCGAGAGGTTCTCCATAACATAATTCGGCGCGTCTACGAAATCCCTCGGACGGTTAATGTTTCCGTCGCGGACGTTAAGTTTTCGCGAGACACACTTTTATCCGCGATGACAAACCGTGATAACTTGTCCCGTGATATCCCGTTATTACGTCGGTTGGCACGTATAGAATGAGGTCGAATCTCGAGAGAAAGCTTTGAAAGCGGAAAGAGGACACAACGGAAACGTCGCTATAGACTGCATAAAGGCTTTGTTGCACTCTATGAAATTTTTAATTTTGCTACAACGATTACAAAATCAGTTATAATCAACTTCAAAATCTTTATCTCTGTCCACAAATTAATTAGATAAGTTGCGATATTGTTTTTAAAAACTTCAGAAACATGGACGTATCGAACTATTGAATATTCGACAGTAATCAAATGAAAATTAGCTGGAACTTAATAAAAAGTTTTGCGTAAAATTAAAAGACAAAAGAAGCAGTAAAAAATAGTTCTCTTTATGCAAATATCTTTAAAGTAAACTTGAAATAATTAAATTGTCGATCTCTTTCATAAAGAAGCTAATCATTAAGAGTTTGATATCGTTTAATTTTTTTAAAAGTACTATCTAATAATCATATCGTGTAGACGAGCCTTAAATCAACACTTCTCTAGGCGAATACGGAGCTCCGCGTAAATTGTCTGCATTTATTGCCGACATACACGAAGCTCCGCAGAAATTGCTCGCTGCCTTTTTTGGAAATCTAAGAGCAAAAGGAATTATTAATTTCCAACGCAATCTCTCGAGATATATTTCCGTTGTATTTCATTGTCTCGAAGATTATAGTACTTGCTTGAAGAATATGAATATCTTTGAGTAATATTGCATAAGAGATATAAAAAGTATTGTGTTATACTTAATTTTGAAGAGAAGAATAACAATAAGGTTAAATATATAACGCGTCACGATTTTATGAAAAGACTTACTCTGATAACAATAATTTTTTTTTCCTGTTTGCAGGTAACCTGGTTACAGCATAATAAGGACTTCTTTCGTCTGTTGACAGTAGGCAGAACGCCGTATAGCAACGACCAAAGAATCAGTCTTAATTTCCGGTAAGTCGTAATAAACCTCCTTTATTTAACTACGCCGATTTTACAAAGAAATAGCCAAGGCTAGAACATCTTGTCGCATAATTTTATTATCTTTAAAGTAGGAGTTCATGGTATTACAGCGCGATTGTGCAAATTCAGCGACGAAATTGTCAACGTTATTACCATAATTCGTTATTATTCGCGGCAGTCTAGGCAGCCAACCGCGTAATCGCTCGTCAGCGTCGAATTATCATCTCAGTTGATTTTTACTATCGTCGGGATGAGCTCGGGACGTTGCCGTTAGCGAGGACGGAGGAACCTCGCTCTCTCTCTCGTCTTCTTTCACCGGGATTAAATCAACCGTTTTATGTGCTATAAAAATCAGAATCGACCATGCTGTAACGTGAGGTTTCGCGCCGTAACATTACCCTTTGTCCATTCAAGTAGAGCATATTATTAGGGACCTTTATTAGGAAATAAAATGTCAATTTTCCTCTATTCACATCCCAGTTACTATATCGTAAATTGTTAGTATATTGCAAATGTGTCAGTGGCGACAGGAAACTCTTTGTGGCTTATTTTACTTTTCAGCCGAATCTTACAGTCCAACCATTTTCTACCATTTTGTCCTTTCTCGTCTGATTCCCAGATATCCCAGCAATTGGAGATTGCAGATATTGTACGCGAACCCACGCGACTCGGCGTTGTATCAGTGCCAAGTCGCCACGCATCCGCCGCTGGTTAAAAAAATCAACGTCATCGTTACGGGTAAGTTTAAGTCAGCCTATAGTTAAAATTTTATTTTGATAGCGATAACGCTTTAGCAATTGTGTGATATTTTTAGCAAGAAATATTTAAACAATTTTAATCTAGTAATATTTGCGTTTATTAACGATTTTTAAGGCAAACTCTTTGAAGCCTTATTATATATAATTGTTATATCTTAACGGATGAAGAGAAATACATGAACTGTAAATACCCGCGTAACTCTTTCCATTATATACTTTAATAAAACAACCAATCAGATTATATTTAGTGTTTTGGTTAGAAGTTTGATTTTTCTAATCAATTAAATTTATAAATATCCATATTAAGTTTTGATAATTGTATTGAAATTCTGTAATTTCGATAAAAGAGAACTATAGCAGTTTATATAATAAACATTTAAGATATAAATTATTAAAGTATTCTATAGAAATTTTAGAATGGGTAATTTAATTTATTATTGTTTTATATAAATTTCATTTATTTCATTTTATTATTTGATTATTTTATAACTTTATATAAATTTTATTATTTTATATAAATTAGGGCCGGTTGTTCCAACCTTTTGGTAAACTAACTAATAGTTAAATCATATATATGTATTTGTTTATCCTTTACATTAAACAAAGATAGACATATGATTTAACTATTAGTTAGATTACCAACAGGTTGGAACAACCGGCCCTTAATGTAATAAATTTAACCGACAAAATATCTTTAAAAATTTAATAACGACTTAATCGTCATAAAAGACAAGGGTACACTATGCGAAACTTTCTACTTCAGCATTAGCCACTACCTGTTGGAATACCAACTTGAAATATTCATCGCTTCATCTACGGTGCACTTCGTACAAGCTTAATTAATCCGAGCAGAATTCGCACTCGGGTCGCACTCGTGCAAAGCGTGTCGCGCGTGTAAACTAAAATGTCTTGACCTGAAAAGAGGATAAATTGAAGGATCGTTTGCTTGCATCCCTTCTCGCGACCCCATGCCGCAAGAGAATCCCCTTCGGGCATGAAATTGTTCCGCGCCAAAGAGAGACGAAAGAGGCCGGTCGGATTGTATGTTAAATCAAGAAAAGAACAGATGGGGCGAACGCGCGGAATGAGGGACAAAGAAAGAGGACAAAACGTGGGTAAGAGCATACGAAGCCCCGGTATTGCATCGCTCGTCGTTACCCCCAATCCCGTTACGTCGCCGATTCGGTGCAATGGAAACCCGCATTTCTCGGGATAAAGCGCCTCAGCGTGGCTGGTAATCTGATCCGATCTCCGAGGAAAATCGGCAAGCAAGAGTGAACAAAAGCCGCCCCCTCCAGAAACGAAGTAGGACAGAACAAACCCGGATAGAGTGACGTTATTACACATCTCTTCGTTACTCAAATCAAAATCCTCCTTATCGTCTGTCATCGCGATCGTAATTTGCAATCCTGCGGTATCGTTTTTTTTCTACGTCTATCGATCTTGCCCTTTTCGTTAATAAATGAGCGCGCGTCGATATGACTTATATAATACGTCGTTCTATAGCGAAGTTACAGCGACTGCGACTGCAGCGAAATATTTTTTCGAAATGTCAGAAGGAAAAGGCCGTGAAAGCCTTAATGAAAAAATATCGCTTCCGTGGTTTAAGGTCAATCGCGCGCATCAATTGTGTTTAGTTCGATAGGGAATCGTCCGCACATTTCATCGTTTTACGATGGATCTTCATTTTTATGTCGATTGTCGATTTGTGGCCGAATCGATCAAGAAATAATGCGGCGATTCTCGAATATAAACTATAGAAAAATGTGACTTGGAATTCTGAGGAGGATCTATTTAGATCCCATTCTTTTTTAATAACTTTTTAATATATGCGTGTGTGATATAATTATTAGTGTAATTTGTTAAGGTATTCTACAAAACGTATATATGTTTTGTATTTTTTTGCTATCTATCAAAATATACTTATAAATTCTTAAAATGCGTTAATTTTTATTTTATAAATAGCACGTATAGGTAAACGAAGAATCGGTATTACATTATTAAAGATAATATTTTCTTATATTTTCTTTATATTTAAATTTTATTATAATTTTTATAAATTGTACAATATATTTCTCATCGTTCTATTTCTTACGATACGTTTTACATGTGAATTTTACATATTAATTCGTTGAAATTAGAAATAAATCCTTTGATTTGCAATTACTTCAATATTTCAAACGCTATCAACACTTCAATAATTAATTAAATTGCCAATCTAAATTACAATCCGAAGGGGACATGGTAGTAGATTCTACTTCTCTACTTTTTATCTTTATATATTAATTGTTTCATAAAATATCTTCGCGAACTCAAATATTACTCGACGTGAATATGGCGATTATTTATCTATTTAAAAGGGATTTCTGCAAACTTCGTGCGTTATGTAAGCCTATACGTGTGTATATTTCTTTTCTTTTTATTATGTGACACGCATAAATCGGACGGCATATGGTATTGCCGACGATGGAAACGGAAAACTAATAAAATAGATTAAAAGGAAAAAAAGACGTCCGCGAGGTTCGCGTATCACGCAATCTGGCCTCGTTGCAACTGCAATGAGTCGTAGAGCAACGTGCGGAATGAACTTTCGGAAATTTGAATGCACCGTGCAGTGCCGTTTCATTATGTGCCGCGGCGCGGTCCCAGTGCCCGTGCGTATCCGCTTCGTGTGTGGGGATGAAATTACTTTCCCGTTGTGACTCGCCTCACACGGTCCTTTCCGCCCTTTTGCTAAAATATATACCGAAACTCGTCGACCTTCCGTCCGTTCTCTTCGATTCTCCCGCGCGCCTATCATCTTGTGTAACGAACTCAACATATTGTAAAATACTACGACGCAGCAGACACAGTTTTATGTCTCGAGATTAAATATGGAACAAGGGAAAGAGTCAATTGTTGAAGGATTTCTTGAAAGAGCACAGTGTTTTCAATGAGCGCACAGTGAATCACGCGAGATTTTCGAGACATTTATCCGCAATATTAAACGTTTATCCATAATTTGAATAATATCTTAGAGAAATATTAACACTTCTGAGCTTTTGATACGCTTGTTAGCGTCCCATATGAATTGAATGTTCAAGGATGAACAGGTAATACGTGTTTCACCACGATGAACGGAGTTTTAATCCATTATATCCCAAAATTAAACAAGACGACCAAGTAACAGAGAATAGTCGAAGAGTTTCGTGAGAGCGGAATATTCCGCATATTGTGAATATCACGGTTAAATATAATACTTGTAAGTGAATTCAAAAATATTTACGAAAAAATCAACGTGTTAATTATTATGAGGTGGTTTTAATAAGCATCAAGTATTTCTTCTTTTATTTATTTTATTTATATAAATAAATATGATAGCTAATTAACTTAGCATTTGCTAATTTATAGCTATATCCAAAAATCTTATTTATCTAAGTTAATGACAAAATAGGATTTGTCTCCTGTTTGTTGACTTGAAGAGTGGAATCAGAAGACAAATCTAGTGATAGTTACTTTGCGCAACGTGAATCAGCTTTTGCGCAAGTTAGTTTTAGCGCGGAAATGTGATCTGTTTTTACAGCTGGCTAAATAAGCTGCGACTGCGAGCACGAAGTCCTGTGACGCGCGAAATGGCTCTTATTAAGGAGCACGCAAACAAAGGCGAATAAAGAAAGCAAACATATTTCTTCTGAGCTTATTTATCGCGCAGGCAAAGAAATTTAGGGGTTGAAAAATCAACAAACGGAAGTTATCGTAAATTACGTGGAAATTAATAACAAGAATCCATTAAGTTCCGTGTAACGTCATCATTGAATTTAAGAACATGTTTAATCTTTAATTGTTTTATGAATTATTATTGAATTTTTTAACAAATGGGAAAATGTATTTTTGTGCTTAAAAACAACTGTGTTTGTAAAAACATAGAAGGTCTAGAATGTTTCATAAAAAGATAGTTTTTAACGAAATACTAATTCGGCTTTTTAACTTTATTAGTTTTAAATTTATTAGCTTCGAAATAATTTTTTAGTCGATTATTGATATTGTGAGGAAAGTATCACCAGAAGAAGAATTTCTCCTTGCAATTGAACAGACACATAAAATTTAATCAAAATATACATGTACATACAGCGAACACGGTCAAAGAAGTATACGCGAAACAATTTTGGCGTGCTATGTTTTAATACGAAGCGTATTTAAACGCTTAATTTCAAAGAGAACGAAGATATCGCGAACGAGAGACACTCAGAAAAACCAATCATCGTACTGTGGTATAAAAATAACTTTTCCCTTGTTGGGCGCTATTGGTTTTAACGATTGGAATATTTTTCATTCTTTATACATAGCATGATCAGTATCGAATTTGACTAACTTTGACATATGTATAAATGTATGTTTTTTATTTTAAATAATTTTGTCAAATATATTTTATATTTGAAAAATATGTGTTTGGGTGCAATTAAAAAATATTTATTTAAACATTTGAATTGCTTCGATAATTATAGAATTTATTATCATTGAAAATTCAAAGACTTTATTAAATTAAGTGCTTGGAAATATTACAAGTAATAATTAAAGTTTATTTTTTGAATAATTTTAAGCCAATATTGCTTAAACTAACGTTTGATTACTGAAATATTTAATATTGCAAGTTTTAAAACTTTGTGAACAACAGAATTCTTTTTCTGTTAGAGAATATGCTTGAGATTGATGAAGGTTTTGTGAAATATTCTATAATATATCGATGGATTTTCGATTTAATCCATAAGTAAAATAATCAAAATACGCGTTTGTCAAATCTTATACTTTATGAAACTACATAGTTGACATAGCCGGAATATTTCTAAAATGAACGATCAATCGTAAAGAGACAGATACATCATGCGAGATATCCATCGATCATCGATATGATTAATATTAAAGTTGAACCAGTATTCATCTGACTCCATTTGTTATATCATGAAAGCCACGATGATATTTATGACACATGTCTTCGCATCA